ATGTGCTAATCCGAGTGTCTTACAATTTGCTTACAGCTTGTATTTATCGATGCAAACGCCAGTCGCAAACAGTTCATCATTTGTACCATGTGTATCTGCGCCACCACAATTGCAACAAGAACAAGCTCAAGACAAAGTAATATTTTAATAGATTCTATTCGAATTGATTTTTTCAGTTTATTTTATTTTAAATTTTTAATTAACCCACATTTTTATTTTAAATTACAGACAAAAATTGGCCGTGACTTTTTGGAGGAATTAAAATGCCTCTTCCTTCGGGTCCGTGATCCTCCAAAAAGTGCACTTGAAGAATTAGTGCGAAAAATCGTCAAATGTGATCTTAATTCGGCTGATGGTATCGAATGGCTTCGGTTAGCCAATAGGAATTTTGGCGATTTTCGCAACAAATTTATTGATGGGATAGAAAGATTAATCAATTCCTTTAAGGAAAGATTGGAAAGGTTAGTACTATTTAGAAAATGCTTATAGAAGTTGTGTGTAATCTTACAATAGTTTTCTAATCAGTTTTAACAATTTTTTATAGTGATCGTCTGCCGCAAAAGGAGGAAATAAGTGCGTTCATTGATGATACTGTTGTAATGAACGTCTTGCAGAGGTGGTTGAATGCCACAAAGATAGATGAGTTACGCTCAAAAAACTCTCTAAACATTTTGCGCCAGTTTATTCGGAAGGCATTTGTTGTCAATTATGTATCCAGAGATACTGACGCTACCAAAGCCCTAGATATATTAACGCAAAAAATTGCCGTACCATCACGAAATGGCAATAATTTCGCGAGCAACTTGAAAATTTAATTATTTTCAGTTATTATTCATTGGCATATTTATTAATTTAATTTTTAACTATTATTTTTTATATTTGTAAACATTTAATTTCGCTTTTATACTTAAAAAAAAAATATTATTAATTTGCTCTTTTTATTTAATTTTCTCATGTTTTTCAATAAAAAATATATCTAAAAAAAATTAGTCATCCATCGTTGAATATTCGCCAATACATTGTAAATTTTTATTTAATTTTTTTCATGTTTTTCAATAAAAAATATATCTAAAAAAATTAGTCATTCCATCGTTGAATATTCGCCAATACATTGTAAAAAAGTTTCAGATTAATTTATTCGGCTAATTTTAAACGCTAAGAACAATTTCTTAAAAATGATAATTATAATTTGTCACAGCTTTGCTACTAATTCTCAACCGAATTTGCTACGATTCGTGACGATTTCGTTATGATAACATGCAGTAACGTGATCGATACGAATTTCTTACGAATCAGAGTCGTTCATGTGACGACTTAGTAACAAAATACCAGGTTTCTGCAAAGTAATTTAAATTATAATTTATTTATATTAATATATTAATTAATATTATTGTTTTATAGTGGAAATATCATAAAAGTTGTTTAAGTTCATATGATATTATTTATTTTTATGGGTTTACAAAAGATCCAGATACTTTAAAATATATGGTAGTAATGGATTATGCAAACAAAGGTAATTTAAGAGGAAACTTAACAAGAATAATCAAAAGTGATTGGAATCAAAAATTATATATGTTATATGGAATTATTTCTGGACTTAAAAAGATACATGATCAAAATCTTATTCATTGTGATTTTCATGATGGCAATATTTTAAATCATAATGAGAGTAAAATTTATATTAGTGATTTAGGATTATGCCAACCTGTAAAATCATTTTTGAAAAAATATGATATTTATGGTGTTATACCATTTATGGCACCTGAAGTTTTAAGAGGAAAACCTTATACTCCAGCTAGTGATATATATAGTTTTTCTATGATTATGTGGGAATTTACATCTGGGGTACCACCATTTAATAATAGAGCACATGATTTTCAACTTAGTTTAAGTATTTGTAAAGGTGAACGTCCTGAAATTATTGAAAATACTCCACAATGTTATGCAAATTTGATGAAAAAATGTTGGAATGAAGATTCATCAAAAAGGCCATCATCTGAAGAAGTGGTAGATATTATTGGAAAATGGATTTTTCGTCCATTTGTAGTGAAAGTTGAAGATATTAATGAAGAATTAAATTGCAATATTATGGAATTTATAAATGCACCAATTGGACATAACAATAAACTTACTACTAAATCTCATCCACAGGCACATTATACAAGTCGCTTACTTGATTTTACTAGTGAAGAATTGAATAAAATTCTTGAAAGTGAAGATTCACAAGATTCTTCTACTGGTATAACTGAAGATTTGAATGATTGTATAATTAAGATATGAATAATTAGGTATGTAATATTATAGTATATAAAGAAAAATTAATTTTGCAAATTATTTATGTGAAATTAATTTTATTTATTTAACTATTTAGATATTAAAACAGATAAGAAATAATTAATTATTTGTATTTTTATAAGAATTCATAGTTCTTTTTAAGTGGTTGTTTAGATTTATTTAAACACTAAGGCTAGAGTAGTAAAATATTTTACAAGATTCTTAGTTTGTAATTTAAATAATTCCTTTTTTTTATACTGTATTTTATTCATGTGATGTATTTTTTTTTAGAATTATTTAAACACCAAGGCTAAAGTAGTAAATATTTTACAAATTTCTTAGTTTGTAATTTGAATAAATCTTTTTTTTAACTTTTCCAATTATTAAATATAAATTATCAAAATAATAATATAAGTATATAAAACCATTTCCAATGTATAAAATTAAAATAAATAATGCAAAAATATTTTATATTCATTTCAAGAGCTGGTGATATTAAAGTAATTAAAATTTCATTAATAAATACACTATCGGTTCCATCCGATTTATCGGGATATCCGGTATAACAAAAAAATTTCGATAATTATATTGAAAATCTATTATACTGAATTTTTAAAAAATTTTCATGCTAATAAAATAAAATATTTTTAAATTGGATATACAAGTAATATAACTTCGACCAGAATTAAGATTTCTATAATTCTGGCCAAAATTAAGATTTACCGCATCCCGTTACCTAAATTTTATTGTTTAGTTATGGGTACACCGATGGATTTTATACTTTTTTATACTTTATACTAGTGGAGTTAATTATAAAAAAATCGGATAAATTTATTATGATTAATAATAAATATATGTTCTTTTTTATTGGATATAATAAATAAGAAATAAAAATATTCATAATAATAAAAATTTTAATAAATGAAAAGTTTGCCCAATAGTTATAGATGCTGATATTTATTATACTATCGTAAAAAAAAATTATAAACTATCCAAATCCAAAAATACTGTTATTTTTATACTGTAGTAATCAAATAAATAAAATTTAGTTACGTCCCCATGAAGACGTTCTAATATTTCCTGATCTTCTAAATTCTCTGGCCGTTTCATATTGGCCATCTGAAACTAAAAAAACCTCAATATCCATTGAAACAAATTGATTTATATTTGCATTTATAACATTATCATCATTATAGAAAAAATTATTAACATAAATATTTCCACGTTTCATGTGAAAAGTAATAGTAGGATCTAAATCTTTACCACATCTATTTACTACAATACCAGGTTTACAGTTCATACGAGTAATTTTCGAATTTTTAATATCGTTATCATTTGCAAAAGAAAATATAAAATTTTTAGATTTACATTCCCATATGTCTTGTGTAAATATACCTGAATAATATTCTCCATAAATTTTTGCCAAATTTTGCTGTACACTTGCAATTGGTCGTACAGAATCAGGTGCATCCGGATCCGGTTTGATCAATAATAAGCAAGGACCTTTGTTCATACATTTACGACGAAATGTACAAACATTGAAACCGTCCCTACTACTAGAATAAAGTAAGTTAAATCTGTATTGCAAATTATTTTCATTGCGAACATCTTTTGCATTTTTTCCTTCAATCCAATTAGCTATTACATAAGCATGTTCCGGTTTAATAATTTTTGATTGAATATTTAACTTTCCAATTCGTGGTGGTAAAATATTTATATTTTCTGGCAAACTACCTTTCATATAAAACTTCATACATTCCTTATAAATATTGTAAGGAATAATAGCCTTAAATGGTCGAACTTTATCAAAAAAGTCTGCAGAACTAATTTCTAAGAATCGAATAAAAGGAATAAATTGATCAAATGTTTCTTTTAATTCTTTAAAATCATCTTTATTCCATCTATTCCTATTTTTGTTTTTCAAACTGGGAGTTTGTTCAATACTCCATTTAATTAAACAATCCCAAACAATAGCTTCATCTCCTAAAAAATCATCTCGTTTAAGTAATTCAAATAAAGTATTCTTTTTGAGTAATGGAAAATTTCTTGAGTTCATGAAATATTTTTTGTTCCTTAAGATCTTCATACAAAAATCCTGTACCACATTACAATTAGGGAGTGCGAAAACCGTATTGAGAACGAAAATAAGTTCATCTCGAATCCAAAACGATCGTTCATTAATTAAAAAATATTGTAGTGCAAGAAATAATTCTTCAAAAAGCAATTCGTCAGATGCAATTAACAACTTAAAAACAAATCCGCCTGATTTACTTAATTTTAATTCACCATGATAAATATAACTTTGTATGAAGGAAAAAGTATGTTAATACTTTTTTTTTTATTATGAAATAATTCAAAATTATATATATCTCTTACTTGAGAATCATTTCGAATACAGCAGGATCAATATTTGGTTTCTTAAATTCGAACATATTATTCTTTTTGATGATCCATTCGTGTGATAATGCTCTTCTAAAATAGGTTGAACGAACTTTAAGAATAATTGAATGTGCAAAAAATTCTTTCATACTTTGATTTTCTCCGACTTGAATAATAGTATCATAATCATTTGAATATTTTAACATTGATGAAAAGTCTCTTAAAAGAACTTTATGAAGTTTTATAGACATCTTTTTTTTTATATACAGTATATTAATGATAATTTTTGATGGAAGTAAAAAAAAAAAAAATTTTTTTTTTTTTTTTTTTTTTTGGCATCGACTTGAATTTTTATAAATATTTTAAAAATCTTAAAATAATTAGAAATTAGGAATAAAACAATTACAACAATTACACGGATTTAAAATTCCTTTTGAAAGGTAAAAAAGACTCCGTGTTACCTAAGTCATTCATTTTATTTTGATGATCATAATTAAAATCAGAATTGATTTACTATTTATTTATTTACTTCTTTTTGTAACTTTTTTATGGCATTTGCTTTTGTTAATCACTTTCATAGCGTTGGTAATTTTTAATCGACAACACGTAACACTAATTCACCGCGGATTTTGTGCAATCTAATTATGGAAAGAAATTATTTATATTATAAATTTTATGTATTCTCATGTGGCCCAGTTAATTTATGTCGGTATCATAAAAATAAATGGGATAAAAACTGTGTTAATTTACTCATATTACTCATAACAACCTTAAAATTAACATCACAATAGGCACAATATGACAAATGATAAATGCAAATCTCACAAATCCGTTTTTGTAACATTGTTGTGTGTATCATAATCATAATTATGGCCGTTCGAATTGTTGCATATGTTGATGAATAATTTGACTCCGCAAAGATAGCTATAGTTTTCATCATTATGATTTTAACTTATGTGTACATGTGTCATTGCTAAAGTGTAACGTCTCAGCTCAGCATTAAGATCACATGACTCAAATAGATGACAAATTGACAATCATTTGTCATTTACTCTTAATGACATGCGATATGTCACTAATGTCATTTGTGTCATTTTATATCATTTGCCAACACTCTATTTTAAGGAGCAAATTTATCAACATCAGAAGATGGATATTACTTTTGGAGACAAAATTTCAACTGTAAAGCGAGGATCCTCAAGGTCTCGTTCGGAGCGACATTAATAGGCTCCACACAGAAAAAAAAGGTTCTAGCGTGTCTTTGACAGAACAACGACCTAATGAACCAATGTTTCCTTCTACGAAACAAGAAAATGAATGTTAGTGGCTCCGTTAGAGAAATGGAGATTCAGCAATTATGCGGAGTTCAACCCGTTGAATCATCTAGCAATTTAGAGACAAACAAGACTTGCCAATCAGATCTCAACGCCAATTTGCAAAAATTGTCTCGAGATCTTGAAACACAATATTCACAAGACATTCCCTCACTTCCTAGTATATTGCTCGAGATCATGAGACACGAATCTTGACACGCCCTCCCTCCCTTCTTAGTATGTTAAAAATATTTATTCTTTTGTGAAACAAGCAGTAAATGTCTTGTACGATATGAAATAAGTGATTTCTTTAAAGTTTATGACATGTCTAACAAACGTTCGCCCAATTCTCGCATGACATTTGGTTAGGGGATATTGCTGGTGCCATATATATATGGTCACGTTTAGATAGTAGCATGATGTATGTAGGACAGAACTTAAGAGAAGCCTTAATAAACTATCTTTTCACCAAGGTAATATTTGTTATGTTATTGAATTCACTCACGAAATTATAACAGTGAATGAAGTAAACCAAAAAGCTAGAGAATTGGCAGAATCGCAGAATCGTAATACGAACATATTACATTGGAAGTAACTAAAGAGCTACTTAAACCATTAAAAGGAGATGGAAAGAAAAAAAGAAAAAGAAAAAGGGGAAAAAGAGAAGAATTAATCATCAATTATTCTATAATTTTACAATATCTTTTATTTAGTTGTTATCATTGTATATTACAATGTTGTGTAATTTGCTTATTATATATTATCGGTTTGACGGGACCGTTCATGCAATTTTTATAATAAACTCCCGTTACTATCCAATAATTTTATTATTATGCTAATACATAGTAATAAAGGTTATGCGTGTATTTTCCAGATATCACTGTTTTTTTGTTAAAAAAGTGCAAAATGTCATCAAGAAAGTGTAGATATATTGCCGATAACCATAAGTTTGTTAATTTCATCTCAGATCGAAATACATATTCTGCTGCTTATTTATTGTTAAGGTTTTGGGTCGGTATATTGGTACGTTCCATCGTTACGTCATTAAAAATGCTGCGCAAGTGATTAACGCATGAAATGGCGTAAAAATATAATTGTATATTTATTAATCGTAGAAAATACACAGTGGAAATAATATTATAATTTGATACAATAGCGTAATTTTTATTATACAAAATAAGTCAAGTATAGCGTCCTATGAATAACTTCGGATAAAAATAAAAGCGAAAGAATAATTTCTTATCTTTGCATATTTTCTATTCAAATTTTCCAATGACTCCCGCAAGCATAATCTCTTCTCCTGATTTCTCTCCTGTTCAATGAAGATTTCTTCCAAATTTTGATTTTAAAAAACGTATTATTTTTTTTTTAAAAAAAAAAATGGTATAAAATTTTTGTTGAATCTTAAATTATAAATTCTTATTTAATTATTGATTATTAAGTATGTTCACTTTCTAATAAAAATTATCATGTAGTTAAAAAAATTGAATTATTCGTTATGACTTTTTGCATAAAGGGGTTATTTCGAAAATCTTTATTTAACGAACGCAAAAAGTATCGCAGATTAAATTCTTGATATATTAGGCTATTAATTAAAAATCTCAACAACTTTTTTTTAATTTACAAGTTTTTATTATCAAGTCATAAAGAATTCTTTACAATATTTTTTTTTTAATTACAATTAGTTTCCCAGTATGATAAAATTTTAAATTTTAGAACAATTCAAGGTCTCAAGATAATCTTCTCCTAATCAAATTCGTATATTTATTTATCTATTTTTGTCGAGATTATTGTATATTTTCTTCATATCATACGACATTTATTGAGGTCTTGACCTAAAGTATTTATAAATATAAAAAAACGAAAGGGAATTAAAAATAACGTAATCTTATTAAAATCAAAAACTTTTTTATATATTAATATAATTACTTAGAACTGATTAGGAAAACTTCAATTTCCTTAGGAACAAACATCTTTATATTTGGGTTTATAACATTCTTATCGTTATAGGCTGAATTGTTAACTTCTATGTCCGAACCATTCATACGAAAAACATTACTGAAATTGAACTTATTTCCATAATTAAGTTCTAATTTATCATAATTCATACGACATATTTTCATATTTTTAATATCATCATCATTTGTAAAAGAAAATATAAAGTTTTCAACCGAATAACGCTGCCCATTATGAATATGTATATGTGATTGATATTCTCCATAAATTTTTGTTAAATCTTGCGCAAGTGATGGTTGGTCTGTTACTGTTTGTCGAGGGGGATCAGACGTTTGCCAAAGAGAAATAGACGAATCACGACTTGATTCATCTAAAGTTGTACTCCAATTGGTCCAGCTATCATTATTATTAACAGAACCCCAGTCATCATCATTATTAACAGGAATATTATTAGCAAGATCCCAGCCACCACCATCTGGATGAGGGGGAGGACGACCCCAACCATTACTAACTGAAGTTGTATCTATTTGTGGAGAACGGCGTTTATTTTTTGTCCGATTTGGTTGAACATTCCAACTATTCCAATTATCCCAGCTATCATTAACAGGATTACAAGTATGAGATGTTTCTATTAATATTAAACGCGGACCCTTATGTTCACATTTATTACGCAATATATTTATATCGAGAGACCATCCCGACTACTGCGATAAAGAAGGTCTAATTTGTATTGCAGATCATTTCTACGACGAATCGCTTTTGCATCTTTTCCCTCAATCCAATTAGCTATTATATATGCAAGTTCCGGTTTAATTATTTTTGATTCAATGTTTATCGTGCCAATTCGTGGTGGCAGAGTAAATTTATTTGTACCTTTCATATAAAACTCAAAAACTTCTTCGTAAATGTGATTAGGAATAACGGCCTTAAATGGATAAACTTTATCATAAAAATCAACGGAACTAATTTCTGAGAATCGAATAAGTGGAATAAATTGACTTAATGTTTCCTTTAATGCTTCATAATTCTCATCATTCCATTTGATTCTATCGCTGTTTTTATTTCCCAAACCGTGAGTTTGTTCAATACCCCATTTAATTAAATAATCCCACACAATGACTTCCTCAATCAGAAAGTCGTTTCGTTCAAGTAATTCATAGAGAATAGCTTTATCGAGAAATAGAAATTCTTTTGAAGTAATGAATGATTGTGGATCTGCTGATACAGATTCAATACAGTGATTTTGTAGTTTCTTGCAATTAGAAAGTGAGGAAACTCTACGAAAAACGTGAATAAGATTATGTTGCACCCAAGATGTTCGATTTTCAATTAAAAAATCTTGAGCATATTCAAACAATTCTTCAAGATGCAATTCGTCAGATGCAATTAACAATTCAAGAACATTTTTTACTGGTTGTTCTGATAAATTCACTTCACCTATATAAGCATACCTTTATTTTTATTAATTATAGGAGTAGAAAAAAAATTAAACCATAATGATATAAAAATTTATTGAGGCTAGCATATTACTTACTTGAGAATAATCTTGAAAACACTTGGAATAATGTTTGATTTTTTAATCTTAATCTTTCCATTGAACAAATCATTTGATACGTTTGATAATACAGCTTTGAAATATTTTGAACGAGCTCTAAGAATATTCGAATGTGCACGAAATTCTTCTATATCTTGATTTTCTCCAACTTGAATAAGAACGTCATGATCATCTGCATCATCTAACATTGACGAAAAATCTTGTAAAAGATTTGAATAGTTCTCAAAAGTTTCCATCTTTTTTTTAAAAAAACAGATATAACATTAACAGATAGGAATATATACAATAAATGATGTTCTGAAATCAGATGATTTTCATATCGGAATTAGTCTTTTTACGAGTAACAAACGCATTTGTAGATCATTTGATTTTGTGAAAATTGGATCAACAACAAAAGCAACAATTGCAACAATTGCAATTTTGCAATTGTATCCTTTCAGCTCGTGACCATGGCTTTTAGATCGGATTTTACATACAATCGGCATTTATGTTTAGTGTAATAAAAGTCAAGGCCAATTAATACAGGTTCTAACTTTCAATAAAGAGAATTGTAGAAGCTTAGCGTTCCACTTAATTGTCTATTTAACATTTTAACATATCCCATTTTTTAAAAAATGTAAAATTTGATAAACATATATGTTTAAAATTCCCCCAAATTTTAAATTACGATTTTCTGAAATTTTCTGAAATTTCCCAAATTTTCAAATTTTTCCAAAAATTTCAAAATTTTATTATGTTTGTTTCCAAACAATAACAGCTTTCACGTCATCCATCGAAAAATTAAATATCAGAATTATTTCTGTTTAATTAATTAATGCATCATGAATTTTTTCTAATGTTTCTAATACAAAGATTTAATTTTATTGAATAGAAAACTATATTTTATTATGTACAGTAATCATGTAACAAAAAAACAATAAATATTAACTTTAATTATACAATAAAAATCTTGTTATTAATAATATTAATAACCTTAATAATAAATAATTCATTATATGCTATATATATATTATTCGGAGTCAACTAGAAATTATTTCAAAAACTTCAATCTCCTCAGGAACAGGCATAAGCATACGTTTCAATACATTATCATCATTATAGTACGAATTGTTAATATATAAGTGCTGCCGACTTATTTTAAAAGCAAAACCGAAACATAACTTCTTATAATTACCGGTATTATAAGTTACATCATGATAATTCATGCGACATATTTTCATGTCTTTAGTATCATTGTCATTTGCAAAAGAAAATATAAAGTTTTCAGTTGTAGCTTTCCAAACGCTATCTATTTTACCGGAATAATATTCTCCATATATTTTTGTTGAAATTTGCGAAAGTGTTTTTTGAGAACCAGGATTATCCCAATTTGTTGACTGAGCATTTCTAGAGGTAAGAGACATTCTTTGTTGAGAAGATTGAGAAGTAATATTCCGACTTAAATGCCCATCAAATTCATTCGTTTTCGGTTTGATCAAGATAAAACACGGGCCATGATTTTTACATTTATAACGGAATGAATTAATATGAAGACTATCATTACTACTGCGATAAAGAAGGTTGAATTTATATTGTGAATTCCTACTACGAATAGCTGTTGCATCTTTTTTTTCAATCCAATTAGCTATTATATATGCAAGTTTTGGTTTAATAATTTTTGATTTAATGTCTATCATTCCGACTCGTGGTGGTAAAATAATTGTATTCGTTGGTAAAATGCGCTTCATATGAAATTTCATAATTTCTTCGTAAATATTACGAGGAATAATGGCTTTAAATGGACGAATTTTATCAAGAAAATCATCAGAACTAATTTCTGTGAATCGAATAAGAGGAATAAACCGACTTAAGGTTCTCTTTAGTGCTTCAAAATTTTCATTATTCCACTCTGATCTATCTCTATTCCTACTTTCCAAACCGGGAGTTTGTTCAATGCCCCATTTAATTAAATAATCCCAAACAATAGCTTCCTCAATTAGAAAGTCATCCCTTTTAAGTAACTCATAAAGTATATCCTCATCAAATGATAAAATTTCTTTTGAAATGTTTAATGATTGTAATTCAGCTGAGGCAAATTTAACACAATGATCCTGCAGTTTCTTGCAATTGATAAGTGGAAAAACCGTATGAAGAACGAGAAAAAGCTCTTCTCGAACTAAAGTTGGTCGAATTTTAATTAAACAATCTTGGGCACAATCAAGTAATTCCTCAAGGAGTAATTCATCACATGCAACTATCAATTGAAGAATATAATCGACTGATTTTTCTCTTAAATTAAATTCACCTGTATAAATATACCTTTTATTTATTATTATAAAATGAGAAAAAAAAACTATTATTTAATCTTAATAAATATATACAATATTTATATTATAAGACATATTATTATTACTTACTCGAGAATTGCTTCGAAAACAGTAGGGTTAATATTTGGTTTTTTAAACTCAATGATATCATTTTTTTTAATAATCCATCCGTCTGAAAATGCGATTTTGAAATACTCTGAACGAGCTCTAAGGATATTTGAATGCGCACGAAGTTCTTTTCTATTTTGATTTTCTCCAACTTGAATAATGACATCATGATCCCTTGCATCAGTTAACATGTTTGAAAGGTCTCTATAGAAATTTGAATATAATTCTATAAATTCCATTTTGTTTTCAAATAAACAATGTATATGTGCACACGTATATACAGTATACAACGTTAGTGGATGAAATATAGAGAAAAATTGTGTGGAAAAAAATTAAATTAGAGTCTTTCCGGTGTCCAAGGATTTTTATGTGCACTAAATATTATATTTCTAAAAAAAGAAAACAAATGCAAGTATATTTATTTGTACATACGTTTTTTGTTTTTTTTACTGCGATTTCCTAAAGGAGTTACAATTTTCCCTTATAGTGTAAATGACAATAAAATTTTGCTAATTAAGATCGTCAAAAGGATACGCAGTTTAAGTTTCACATTCACGTGATTCAATTTAACGCTAAATTTTGTGGCGCAGTAGAATCGGATAATTTTATTATAAAATCACATTAAATAAATTATAACGTACAATTATCATTTGTGTTTTAACATAATAAATATAATAATAACTGATAATTTATTTATTTAAAAATAAACGAATTACTTAATTTTGTATACAATAAAGATTTCAACTTCCTTCGGAACAAAATTTTCATTCTTCCGTACAACGTTACCATTACAATATTCCGACATTTTAACATGGACATTTTGACCACTTGATTCATTAAAGGAATTAAAGGAAATAGAATCGTTTATATTCCGACTTATTTTCGTGTTTTTAACATTATCATTTTCAAAAGAAAATATAAAACCTTCATTATGAGATATAAACGAAATGTATTCCCCATAAATTTTTTTAAAATTTTGCGAGATTTTTTCTTGAGAAACCACATTTCGACTTTTTTGTTGAAAAGTATTATCAGTATTTTGTCTTTGGTTGACCAATATTAAATGTGGATCTTGATTATCTTTACACCGATCACGAACTCTATTAATTGCCATAATGTTAGTACCGTGCCACCCACTGTAGTAGATACGTTTGAAATTGTATTTCAAATCACTTTTGTTACGAATAGCTTTTTCATCTTTTCTGTCGATCCAATTGGCTATTATAAAAGCATGTTTTGGTTTAATAATTTTTGATTCGATATCTATCATTCCAACTCGTGGCGGCAAAGTAGTTATACCTTCTGATAAAGTGCCTTTCATATAATATTTTAAAACTTCTTCGTAAATATTACGAGGAATAATGGCTTCAAATGGGCGAATTTTATCAAAAAAATCATCAGAACTAATTTCTGAGAATCGAATAAGAGGGATAAATTTTTCTAACTTTTCTTTTAACGCTTCACAATTTTCATTATTCCATTTGGTTCTATCCCCATTTTCACTTCCCAAACCGGTAGTTTGTTCAATAACCCATTTAATTAAATAATCCCAGATAACAATTTCTTCTATCTGCAAGTCATCTCGTTTTAGCAATTCAAAGAGAATATCCCCATCAAGTGAAAGAAAATCTTTTGAAGTAATGAACATTTGCGGATCTTCTACGATAAATTTAATGCAATGATCTCGCAGTTTCTTACATTCAGGAATTTTGGAGACCGTATGAAGAACGAAGACAAGATTTTGTTGAATCCAACGTAATTGATATTTAATCATACAATCTTCAAGATAAATGAGAATATCATTGAAAAGAAACTCTTTAAATGCAACAATCAATCCAAGAATATCTTCACCAGATTCATCTGTTAGGCGGATTTTACCCGTATAAATGTACCTTTATTCATTAGTTAAAAAAGAAAAAAGTTAAGTTATAATAATATAATTATAATAAAGGAAGATACGAAAATCTTATATTACTTACTTGAGAATTATATCGAAAATATCAGGGCTAATATTTGGTTTTTTAAACTCAATCAAATTGTTCTTTTTTGCAATCCAATTTTCTGATAACGCAGTTTTGAAATATTTTGAACGAGCTCTAAGGATATTTGAATGTGCACGAAATTCTTTTATATTTTGATTTTTTCCAACTTGAATAATAACATCATAATCATCTGCATTATTTAACATTAATAAAATGTCTCGTAGAAGTCCTCCATAAAATTTTTTCACGGCAATTTTTCCACTCATTTTGTCTTTAAAAAAAAAATTTTACATGTATTACGTTAATGAAAAGTTGAATATTTTATAGATTTAATTTAATCAACAAAAGCAGTAGATCATGAAAATGATACTAAGACCAAAAAGTATATTGGACTAATAACTGCGCCGTGAGATTTCAGTTGCGCCACACTAAACAAAATAATTCCCAAAGTTCGTTTCACAATACCGCAGTGTCCTCGGGTCATAAGTACAGATAACGTGTAACGTTTTACGCAGCATAGAAACTAAATAACCATTTTTTTTTTTTTTTGAACAAAAAGGAATAAAAGGAATAAAAGAAAATCAAACAATGGTTATAGTTCTAAAGATCTTTGAAAATGGGCTAAACATCATCCTTATTCACTTTTAAACCATCTGCTTAAAAAAAAAAAGAAAATGGTTTAACTAATTACTTTGACAATTGCCAAGCAAGTGATCGACAATGATATTGTTGTAGAGTCTTTGTTCCTTCAGTATATATTTCTAAAATCGGTAACAATAACCGGTTTACCACATGGCAATCAAATATTTATACATCCGACATACGCATAAACAACTTCCTGATTTTTTTTAGTTTTTTTTTGCCCCCTCCCCCCCCCCTCTTTTTTAAATAAAGCAGCACGTAAGAAAAAATAATACAAAACTGATACCAATAAATTTCTTTGGTAAATCTCTCTCCTTTATCATATAATTTTATGTTAAAAGTAATATTTTTACGTTTTTTTATGAGCTAAACAACAAAAATATTTGAGTCTTATTGGTTAATTATAAGAAACGTGAGACTACAATTTTACGAAGAAGTAATTAAATGGACTTAGTATCTAATCCATTTAATTACCTTCACGATTATAATCTTAATGAAGATTTCTGTCTCAACAACCAACTCAGAAAGAAAGAAAATCTATTGTCTTATTAAGGACAAAATGGAATTGGAACTAGTGTTGATAAGCAAAAAGCATTTGAATTATATTCACGCGAGTCAAGACGTCGACATACGAATTTGGTCATTCGCTCTTAATCGTGTTATTCGTCATTTTCACGATAAAAAGGACAACAGCATATTAATCTTTCGTAAAAATGTCTCCGTAACATCGCCTTGCTTTCACCCAGGAGATATACTGGGCATGAACGCAATAAGCACTCACTGGCAGTCGATACATGATATTCCTAGTGAATGTAGTGGTGGTGATTAGACGGTAATTTTACGTATGTATCTTTTTATTTTGTTTTGTTCCATTCATTCCATTCCATTCCATTTATTTATTTATTATTTTTTTTACAAACATTAAAATAGCGTCTAATCCCATCCAGCCCATCGCTTAGTTGACTGCCAGATGATAAACTGTACTGTTCAACCGAAGTTACGGAGACATTTCGATGAAAGATTATATGCAGATGGGTTTGAAGATTATTTAGAGAATGCACGAATACGAACGCGCATACGATGCAGATATTATTAATTATGGCTGAAATTGTAAATGGAGCAACTAGTGGTTACATCGTGAATGACCGAATTCGAAGCAACTAGTAGGTACATTGTGAATGACCGAAATCGAAGTAACTGGTGGTTACATCGTGAATACTATCACAAAAATAGATCGTAAAAAACCTTGACAAATATAATAGTTGTTGAAATTATTATTGTGGAATGTCTATAAGAAGTATTTAGTAAAATTAACAAGAAAAAATGAACTGAAAGTTAGGATTTGTAATGTTTGCACATATAGGTTTACATTTCAATAATATTATTTACATTGAAGGAGGGAAAGGGGGATGTTAGAAGAGAGATTGTATAATATATTCTTTAATGATTTTTCATTTCAATCAAAAATAAATTTTTTTTTTTTTACGTATTTACATATTTTATTGTGCACATGTGATTATATGACCGACGAGCGTTTTGGGCGAAACTAGTCTATAAAGTTTGGTATGTCTCCAATATCGATCGATCGAGAACGAGAACTTATTAAAAATTTAAATGTTTTTTTAAATAGTATCATAACAAAAATTACTTTGTTATAACTTAACTAAAAGTGTCAGGTAGGTGGATTACTTAATATAAATGTATGTAAAAAGTTCATGTCATAACGAGTATCTAATAACGAGTATTGTTACCAGTATATTAATGATCGATGATAATATTCCCGGCACCATACCGATAGATGACGATCTATTTCATGGACGCAAAATATTTATTTTCTTCGTAAATTACGTTATTTGATTTTTAATTAAAGATTGACGACAAAAATTTATTACTTTTTGAAGCAGACTCATCACGTGAGATAAAATCTTATTGGTTGATTGGTTGATTGGCTGACGGCTGATCAATAACTCCGTCGTTCTTGTAAGAGAATGAATGATACATCATACATATAGTAAATGGACTAAATGGTGCAATTGATGCGTGTAGATTATAAATGATTTAAAAAATTTACAAGTGAGGACAAATAGTTATTGATAAAAATTACTGATACAACAATTTTAAAGAATTAGGTGGCGTTGATTTTACTCGAAATCGAACATCTATTCCTTGATATGAATTTCCGCAAGTTTACAATATTTTACAATCACATTATAATCATCATATCCGAAGCAATGATCTTCACGGTAATTAAAGCAACCAAACTCATGTACAGGTAGGTATTTACTTAAAACATAATTAATATTTTCAAGCAATTTTTGTGACGTTCTCGAATATTTTGTGATTTCTTTGTCTTACTTATTTCACGTTTATTTTTTGTTAGGTAACTCCTGCTTACAATAAGAAAAATACTTATCATTATAATAATCAGTATGGGGCTAGATTTTAATTTTGAGAATCGGATCGAAAGGATTTTTATAATTTTTATTTATAAGTTCCATTTTAAATCACGTATCAATGAAAAAGGGAAAATTTGCATATTTATAATTTCATCGTTTTATTCGATGATTCTTATATTTTATAATCAGATTTATCAGATTTAGAAATCAAAAGATTTATTTTATTTATGTTTATTGATTTATTGATTTATCTATTTTATTGAAACACGACAATTAATTTAACGCGGCAAAAAGTAAAAATTAAAATAATAATAAAATTTTTTTCAACTCCGTTAAACAAAAAAAACGTACACTTTACTATGAAACTGTAAAAAAAAAAAAATTTTTTTTTAAATCTACAATAATTTATTTGAAGGTGGCGATTCCATTGTTTCATTTTCAAGATGCACACTTATCGCAAAATAGTCTCCCTTTTAAGAAATTGTTATTTATTACTACTATTTCCATCAATCAAAATGAATTAGATTTTCGAAAAATCATAATCGAGTTAATATATATACTGCAGAAAGTATTATAAATGTAAATAACACACTAATAAAAAATTTTTTTTCGTAAATCTTAATAAATCATTAAGTATTTTAACATACTACAATGTAAAATATCCCACAATTATTATATTACACAACTTAATCCTTATATTTTTTCAAAAGTAAAGGATATAAAGCTTTCGGTATATTATACCAAATTCTTTGTCTTTTCACAATGTCAAACTAGAGTTAAGTTCAACAAAATCTTCTTTCCCCGCTGATTTTACCAAGCCACATCCCTCGGTTGTGGTTTCGCTAGGTAATAGATGAAGGTAATAGATGACTACTTTAAACGTTTACCCACGCTTGATTAGATTTCTGATAAGAAATCATATTGTGTCAACACCGTTTTACAGACATCACAATGCTGTGTTTTAATTAGACAGTCAGACAGTCCGATTCGTACCAGTTCTAAGTTGATTATTAATCGTCTACCGGATATACCGGTTAAATTTATACAAGCCCAAACCTCCTAACTTAACAATTTCAAGTTCCATCCCACTTTTGACAGAGATAGTGCACATTTCCAGTTGATTAGAGACATACTCTTCAAAAAGAATTAAAATAAATTTCAAATTCACTTTTTTTTTATCAAGTTTGGCTTTCAAAAGACTTTACTCTTGAAGAACTTCGTATCACTTTTCTTAGGATGAAGAAGATATATTGTAAAATCTGTATTCATGAGATCAGACTCCAACATATCGGTTTGAATGCTCTTTCGCGTGATTTTACTCAAGATGAACGTCTCGTCCTTGAATAAGAGTCGCTTCTCACATGATGGATATGTTTATTAAGAAGAATTTTTTCATCTATATTTGATGTAAACATCCATGTTCAAATCTAATCTTTCATTTTAGTTAGCACTTTATCTAACATTCGGATAAGTATTCTAACAATATCAATTGATTTTTTTCGTTCAAAAAAGTCACCGTTACGTCTTACCACTTCGTGGTACCCGCCGGCGTTCGGTATTCGTACTTTCCAGTAGTTGATTTTTTTTGCGTCTAACAAGGCCAGCGCCATTGTTTTATTCACTTAGGAGCAAGAAAGAATCGAACAATATTTCTTAAACGGGAACAGCCTAAGTGATCATAAGAATTCAATATAATTAGGAACGATAAAAAATTCAAACAGGATTTAAAACTATTAACAAATTACTTACAATTATTCGTTATTAAAGGAAAAAAAATAATTTTTACATACAATAATTATTTGACCCTAATATTTTCCCCATGATTGGATTAAAAAATAATTAAATTCTAAATATTTTAAAAAAAAATATACCAAAATATTAGAATTATAAATGTCTATGACCAAAGTAAAGGCATACATAAATTGAAAACTAAATAAATTTATTTTATATTCTGTTACTTACAGAATTAATGATCGAAGAGGAGAGTTTCATAAAGTAAATAGGATTATAATAATTTTTCTGTTTGCGTAAATGTAAACTTTCATTTATTAGAAAATACGTATAATAATAATTTCTAAAAACAAAAAGTTTATTATCCCTTCTTACCTTAAAATCATTACGTATAAATATAGTTTTTTTTTAAACTCGATATTTAAAAAATTTTCAATTTTATAAATATACATTTTTTTTTTTAAAAAAAAAGAAAACAATACCATTATATTGTTGCTTATCGTTTTTCGGTAAATGACCGAAAAACGACTATGGTCATTCGGTGAATATAGTAATTCACCGAAAAACGACTATAGTCATTCACTGTTTCGATTAATCCATACTACACTTCTAAAATAAGATGAAAAAAGTATTAAATTTCGTGTTTCAACCATTTTATGTAAAAATTTTTGACCTGCAAGAGTCAGGTGATGATCGGTACATATATTCAGGGCTATTTATGAATATTGAGGCCATCTGCTTTTTTTTTCTAAATATATCATTTCTAAAATCGGAAAAAATGACCACAACTAATAAAACTTTTGGAAACTTTCACATGCTTACAAGTTTTTTCAAGTTATCCTTATCAACAACAACAACAAAACAAAGATCAACAGGAAATACGCCTCAATTAGTGAATATTTAAATAATATTACGTATTATGCGATACAGACAAAATGGCTTTCGTAAGCTTCGTAATTTTTAATCAACTCTGATACTATAATTTTTTATCAAAATAATCCTAAACACGCAAATACATTAAAAAAAAAATGGAACATAGCATCTCAAAAGACCTATCATTGATGTTAACTACTGCTGATGATCATAATGTTATAATTCAAGTTGGGGAAAATCAAAATACAAGAGACTTTCCTGCTCATTCTAATATATTGAGAGCTCGTTCGAATTATTTTCAAATCGCACTTTCGAAAAAATGGGTTACTAAAAGGAATAACGAAGACGTGGTTAAGTACAAAAAACCAAATATTGATCCTGGCGTTTTTGAAATAATTCTTAGGTATTTGCGATTTTTTGTGTATTAATTAGGTTAAAAAAAAAAATAATTTTAGTAAAATTAATCCTTTTCATTATAAATAAAAAGGTATATTTATACAGACGAAGCGGATTTATCCGAGAAATCAGGAATAGATATTTTCAAGCTTTTAATTGCTTCCGATGAACTACTACTCGAGAAATTAATTAAATATATTCAAGATTATTTAATTGAAAATCGAGTGACCTGGATTAAACAAAATTTTGATTTTGTCTTTAATATAGTTTTTAAATATGTTAATTGTAAGAAATTACAAGAACATTGTCTTGCATCCATCTGTGAAGATCCACACCAATTCTTCTCTTCAAAAAATTTTCCATCACTTGATAAGAATATTTTCTATTCATTACTTAAAAGAGATGATTTGCATATTGATGAAGTTATTGCTTGGAATCATTTAATCAAGTGGGGTATTAATCAAATTCCATTGTTGAAAAGTGATAGAGATAAATGGAATGAAACCGATTACGAAGATTTAAAAAAAGCCATAAGTCAATTTATACCTCTCATCAGATTCTCAAAAATTAGCCGCGCCGATTTTTATGATAACGTTCGTCCATATAAGGCTGTTATTCCTCATAATGTTTACGAGGAAATGATGAAATTTTACATGAAAGATATACCACCAATTTCAATTATTTCGACTCCGCGAGTTAGAAGACCTTTTTTGCCAATTGCAATGAAGACTGTAAAAGGATCTGTAAGATGGAATCCGTACTAATTCTATAACTTATACTTACGGCAGGAACAACAAATTTTGGCTTTAATAATCATGAAAATTGATATAATTTGTATTTTGTTTATTTTTTAATTTGATCTTTTATTTACAACATTTCTATAATAAAAAAAAATTATTTTTTTTTTACACACGTTACTTTAAAAACTTCAATTTCCTCTGGTATAGGATTCATATTTAATTCTGAGACATTTCCTATATTATCGTAAATATCGGAATTACCAAAGAATACATGACCTCCCGTAAAATAAAATGTATTGCCAAAATTAAATCCGTTGTTATGTTGCTCGCATATCGCATAATTAATACATTTACTATTCACACGACTTATTTTCATATTTTGAATATCTTCACCATTTTCGAAAGAAAATATAAAACTATCACTTGCAGGGTATTTTCTATTAGAATTTGTAAATCCAATTGGATTATACCCTCCGTAAATTTCTGTTGATTTTTTTTTTTTAACTAATACTAAGCAAGAACCTCGGTAATTACATTTAACACGAAATGACTTTGAATTAATTCCATCCTCGCTACCACGATAAAGAAGATCAAAATTGTACTTGTCACTGGATGATATATTGTTTAAATCTTTTTTATCGATCCAACTAGCAATTATATTAGCTAGTTTTGAATTTATAAGATTTGATTCGATTTTTAGTTTTCCAATTCGTGGCGGTAAGATTTCGGTTTTTGACAAAGTTTTTTTATAATAGAATTCTTTAAATTCTTCATAAATATGAAGAGGAATAGCAGGTTTATAAGGACGAACTTTATCGTAAAAATCTGCGGGAGAAATATCCATAAACCGAATAAGAGGAATAAATTGACTTATAGTTCCCTTTAATGCTTCGTAATCATCTTCACTCCAATCTGTTCTATCGCTTCCCAAACCAGAAATTTGTTCAATACCCCAATTAATTAAAAAATCCCAAGCAACAATTTCTTCGATCTGCAAGTCGTCTCGTTTAAGTAAGTTATAAAGAATATCTTCTTCAAGTGATGGAAAATTTTTTGAAGTAAATAATTGTGGATCTTCACTCATACATTCCATACAATAATCCTGCAATTTTTCGCAATTTTCAAGTTTAAAAGTTGTATAAAAAACATAAGCGAAATTTTGTTTTATCCAAATCGTCTGTTTTTTAATTATATGATCTTGAACATAATTAAATAATTTTTCGAGAAGAAATTCAGCTGATGTGATCAAAACTCCAAAAATATCTTCTC